GACCCAGCAACAGCATTTCTAGGGCTGTATCCCAAAAAAGATCATACAAATGGGAAAAGGACCCACATGTACAAAAATATTTATAGCAGCTCTTTTTGTGGTAGCACAGAATTGGAAATTGAGGGGATGTTCATTAATTGGGGAATGGCTGAACAAGTTGTGGCATATGAATGTAATGGAATACTACTGTGCTATAAGAAATGATGAGCAAGCAGACTTCAGAAAAACCTGGGAAGACTTGTGTGGACTGATGCTCAGTGAAGTGAGCAGAACCAAGAGGACTTTGTACACAATAACAGCCACATTGTACAATTACTAACTTTGATAGACTTAGCCCTTCTCAGCAATGCAAGGATCTAAGACATCTCCAAAGGCCTATTATGGAAAATGCTATCCACATCCAGGAAAGAACTGTGGAGTCTAAATGCAGATGGAAGCATACGACTTGCTCTTTTTTTTAGTTCTGTTTTGTTTCTTCTTTCTTGTGTTTCCTCCTATTGGTTCTAATTCTTCCTTACAACATCACTAATGTGAAAATATATTTAATAGGAATATATATGTAGAGCCTATAACAGATTGCAGGCCATATTGGGGAGGGAGGTGGGGAGGGAGAGGGAGAATTTACAACTCAAAAGCTTATGGAAATGATTGTTGATAAATCAAAATAAATTAATTAAAAATAAAAAACAAAAACAAAAATGAACATAATATAGTGGGGTTAATTGGAGACACCCAAAAGTTTTACAACTCACCCAAGGTCAGAGGTAGTCTTTGTACCCAAAATTTTCTGTCTCTGTGGCCCTGGCTCTTTCTCTCTGCTAGACTACAGTTTCTCACTTGCCACATAAGAGGAGTTTGTTTAATTGAATTAACTTTTTATTGCTAGTGGTCTGGAATGACATACTCATGTGTGTGAGTGGTGATTGTTAACTTTTCCCCCTTGTATTTGACCAGACACTGAATTAAAAGAGAATATAATTTTTATTGCGTTATGATAAGTAAGTGATATTTAAATACTTCTGCTTTTATCCATTTTGGTTGGGGTCTTTATGCCACAATACATTGTCAATTTTTGTCAAGTTACCATGTACAGGTGACAAGTACACAAAATTTTTCTATTCCATTTCAGTAATTTCTGGAGATCTATCATAGCTAATTTTTCTAAAGTTCTATTCAGGTACTCAACGTCTATCGTGTTTATCTTTTGGTTAGATTTGTCTAGATCTGAAAGAATAAATTAAGTTCCCCCCACTATTGTAGTTTTACTGTTTGTCTGTTCAATTCAATTAACTTTTGCTTTAAGTATTTAGATATGTCATCAAGTATATATATATTAAGTATTGGTATTGATTTGTTATCTATTTTATCTATTTATTATCTGTTATCTATTTAAACATAATAAACATGATAAAATTCCCCTGCTTATCTCTTTTTTTAATCCATGTTTATAGAGTAGCCTTATTTGAAACAATGCCTTTCTTTGAATCTTCCTTACTTAGAAAAGGCACATAGTAAGTACTCAATAAATGGTTATTGACTGACTGGTATATATATATATATATATATATATGTACATATATACGTATATATATATGTACATATATATATGTACATATATATATACATATATATGTATATATATACATATATATATGCAATAAGAAATGATAAAATTGGCAATTTCAAATGAAATTTGGAAAACTTGTTGACTGATAAGGAGCAAAGTAAGTAGAACTATTGGAATAATTTATAGAATTGTAACATTAGAGAGAAAAAAGTTCTGAAAAATTTTAGAACTCTGATCAAAACAATGATAAATCAAAACTCCGAAAGAATGAAGATGAAACATTCAACTCACTCTTGATAGATGTAATGAACTTTAAATATAAAAAGAAACATATGTTTTCAAATATTGCTCATGTGGAAATTTGTTTTCATGGTCTATACAGCTATATATTGAGAGATATAGAGGGAAGTGCATTTATTTTTTTAAAAAATTTGCTTATTGGGTATGTTAGAATTAGAAGGGCTTAAGTTTCCACAGGTAGAATAATGCAGAGATTTAAAGAACAAAGGTCCCAGGGGGTGGTACACTGTAGGTGGGCTGGGCTTGACCAATAGGAAGTAAGTGGATTGTTCCAAGAAGACCCCAAAATCAAGATAGGGGTCGAGCCAGCTCAGACCAGTTAGGGTCAACCTGAGGACACCTGAAAAATGTTAGTGCACCTGCTTAATGAACTTCATTACTGTTATCTGACACACCCCGCATAAAATTGGAGCCTCATTAACGAGTCATGGGACATATGACGGGGGGGGGGGGGGGGGGGGACATACTTGAGCATATGAAGGGGAAACATGTAAGGAAAGGTGTAACCTGGGAAGGGATGGACCAATCCCGGCCTGGGAGGTTTCGTGCCAAATTCAATTGCATAAAAGCACACTTGCCCTTATACTCAGGGCCCACCCCTCCTGAAGAGGGGTGGAGCCCGCTTCTGGCCAGAAACGTCTAAATCCTCTGGACTTCCTTTATAGTAAGTTTTCTTGATACTAAATTTTTGGTGTCAAGTCTATTTCTAACAGGTATTAGGGTTAGTGGTTATAGGGTGGACAGATTAATAAAATAAATGCTTGTTACTTGGGAAAATAAAAATAAAATTCAAAGAAATGAAGGTGGTATAAAAATGAAAAATACCAATTAAAATTTTAAAGGAAAAAAATATGTACTTATATAAGCATATGCAACACACACAAATGCACAAAGTAAATACAAGGCAGAGGTGGGGGTGGGGATAGGTGTAGAAGGGTCACGAATTCCAAGAAAGGTATCAGGTAGGAGGTGGAGCTTGAGCTGAATTTTGAAGACAAGCCTTGGATTCCAGGAGGTGAAGATGAACAGGGCATGCATCCAAGGTATAGAAGGAGTACAAAGAGGGTAGATGGAACAGTCTTTGTAGGAAACAGCTGAAAGACCACTTTGGCTGGAACGTTGAGCTCTTGAAGGAGAATGATGTGTAAAGAGATTGCAAAGGCAGACTGGATCTAGCTTGTGAACAGCTTTAAATGTGAAACATGACCCTTATATTTGATCCTGGAGCAAGAGAAAACCTTCAACTTCTTGAGCAAGGGAAGAACATGGTCAGACCTATGCTTTGGAAACATTACTTTGGGGGACTGTGTTTTCATTGAGAAGAATACATTGAAAAGGAGGGAGACTTGAGTAAAGGAAACCAGTCAGGAGATTGTTGTAATAGTTTAGGCAAGTGAAAAAAAAGAGGTATCAATATGAAATGAGGAAGCAGGATCCACAAAGTATAGCAATGTGTGTGAGGAGGGAGATTAAGAATTGTTAAGATGCTAATTGTTAACATTAAGAAATGTAAAGAATTACTCCAAGGCTACAAACTTGCAGGCCTGGGGGGAAAATGCCACCCTCAATAAAGGAGGTGAATTGGGAAGAGGGGTAGGGTTGAGGGTCAAGATAATGGGCTATATTTTGGACACGTTGAGTTTAAAAATAGCATAGTTATTTCCTTTCATAGTTCTTGACATTCCTTCACCAACTAGTTCTTTGTGGGTTAAAATTAGATTTAGAATGTCATTTCCCTTATACTTTCTCTACCTTCTGTAATAAAGATGAAATTATCAAAAAGATAAGTAAGGAATTTAACAAATTCTTTTGTTAGAGGAGAAAGAGAACTCTAGCATAAATAGCTCATAGTATTCTCACACAGACTCTCTTCAAAACTGTATTCTGCCTCAGTACCAGCTTTTGGCATGTTAGAAACTCATCCTTCACTTCCTCCAACACTGGCCCAGAATCAGCCTAAAACTCTTCCTACATTGTGTCAATCACCTGCTCAAAATCCTTCATCTTTTCCTAGCTATCTACTAGGTGAAGTCCTAAACTCCTTAACCTGGCATTCAAGGGCCTGATCTAAGCCCTATCTAACTTTCTAATTTTGTCTCTGATTATTTCATAACATAATCACTCTGCTACAGCCAGACTGCTCTCTAAATATAATTTGAATATCTCCAGCTAACCTTTTGCTCAAGTCATTTCCCTCACTTGAGACTCAGGTCCTTCTCTTTACTTCTCTGAACACACAAACCCAAAATGAATTTTTAAAGCAATTTTTTTGGTCATTTATTAAATGCTACCTTACATTGCTAGCTATCTTTTTATATTTAGAGGTCCTGTCTCACTGGCTAGATCACAAAGTCCTTGAGGAAGGAATTATATTTTTATCTATTATCTCCCACAGTGGATATTGTACAAAGTAGGTACTAATAAATTACTTTTGACTGACTGAACCAAAGAATTTAGAGTTTCCCATGTACTTCAATATTCACAGATAAGCTCAGTCACCAGAAGAAAAATTGAACTTATTTTCTTATGTTGAAACTGAATGGGATGTCCCAGTGAAGACTTCTCAGTGTAGTTAAGGTAATGAGTTCAGAAGGTAGTGTGAGAAATGAACTCTCAGAAGTGAAGGCTCCTCAAAGGGTCAAATAATTCTTGATTATTACTTTCAAAATCCTCCCCACTTAAACCCTGTTTTTAAGCACTTAACAGAAAGAATAAGCCCTGCCCACCCCCAATCTGAGCTTCCAGCCTCTTTCCTTGTCTTTGAATTTCGAGCTTAGAATGTAAGCCCCCAGGTAAGGGGGTAAGGGATAGTGGTGGGTGGAAACTTGTTTGCGTGGTGGGTGGAGGCTTGTTTGCGTGGTGGGTGTAGATTTGCTTTCATAAGGCGGACCCTGTTACTCCGTCTGTCTGTCTGTCTGTCTGTCTGTCTGTCTGTCTGTCTGTCTCTCTTCTCTCTCTCTCTCTCTCTCTCTCTCTCTCTCTCTCCCTCTCCCCACATGTATCGAAGGAGCAGACAGCCATTTCGAGAGATTGTAATAAAGGTAACCTTTACTTTCCACCATGAGGTCTCTGAGTTTAATTTGAGTTGGTGTCGCTGTCCCACACAAAATAATACGTAACAATACAATTTTACCTTCATATTTTGATCCATCTGGATAGATAAACAAGCCTTGACCATGTTTTTTATTTTGTTGGTATTCTCCAATGTATCGTGCACCATTCTTAAATCTGTAAGTCCCCTGAAATATATTATTCTTGTCATTTCTAAGTCTAATTCAAAGAACACTCTTTTAAAAAAACTCAGAGAACACATTCATTCTTACCTGACCATGTCTTTTACCAAATTCATATTGTCCATCATATACATCCCCATTGGGCAATATTGCCTTCCCTTTTCCATGTCGTTCACCTGCCTCATTGCGGTCTCCTTCATATTCCTGACAAAATGAGATAAGCAAAGTGAATTGATTTATTAAATAGATGAATTAGTAAAGAGTAAGTTATTGAAAAATATTTTTAAAATATTGAATGTGTAGAATATTAGCAAAGCTGGTAGAAGAAGGAGCTTATAGTGTGTAATTTCAGGGAGCTTCAGAAGGATTCTCCTATTCCCCAAAATATTTTTTTTCACATGGTAATTGATACCCGAAATTTCTTTTAGTTAACACGGAGCTTTTTTTCTCCCATAATCAGAAATAAAAATTAAACTGCAGCCAGAGGTAACACAATGAATTGCACTCACACTTAAGAATTGGTAACTCATATTGGATCCTTTCCTGAGAATAAGTATACACTTAAGCAAAGTGTAGTGATATGAGATTTTTGCTATATCTATCATTTACTACATGCATTTAACTGGTTTTCTTTTCTTTTTTAATGTTGTTTATTTTTATTTTTTTCTCAATTATATGTAAACAAAAATTTTTTAACATTTGTTTTCCAAAATTTTGAGTTCCAAATTCTCTCCCTCCCTTCCCTTCCCCCACTTTTAAAAGGCAAACAATTAGATATAGATTATACATGTGCAGTCATGCAAAACATTTCCACATTTAATTGGTTTTCTAAAAGCATTTAACTCAGTAGAAAAAACTTGAAGACTTTACTCACACAAGAGATCTCTCACTTGTATAAAAATTACATGACTCCATGTACAAAATGTAGAGAAATTATACAATACACAACTAGAGAGGTAACTTTGTTCAATCACCTACTTAGTTTCAGTGTTAAATAAGATACAAAACAAGAACTATGCTTATCTAAGACGTTGACCAATGTTATGAAAAATGGGAGGTGCAAAAGAAAAGAATACATTGAATATGGAGTCATAGAACCTGGATTTGACTCTCAGATCTACTACTTACTCTATGACAAAAAAAAAAAGATAAAGTTACTCACATTAAAAGATAAAATTATACTAATCAAAGCAATACCTAGATCACTACAAAACATGTTCTGTGAAATTCACCAGAATGTGAAAGGGAATAGGCTGCCACCAGCATATAACCATTGAGGAACCCTGAAGAACAGTGTTTAAAAGGTCAGTATAACATAATGGACTATGTGTTGAAATTGGAGTCAGAAAGATCTGGGTTCAAATCCCTCCTTTGACACTTACTTGTTGTGGAGGGTGTATGTGGTGTTTAAGGACACCTCTAGTGTGAGTCTGGCCTGCTCATCCACCTTTGGTATCTACCAGGCACTCAACTCTCACCTCCAAGAAGCTGTAGCATGGACAGCAGCCACACCCCAGTAAGCCATCTTGGAAAACTGGCTAAACCAGGTTGAGAGTAACTGACCCTCAAACCCTTCATTCAGTTAGGGGAGTAACTACCCCAAGTATGTGAAGCTTGCCCCCAGTGGAATGGGTAGATGAGAACAATTTGTTCCAAAGGCTATGAAGGTGGTTGAAGCAGTGCTACGGAGAGCTTAAAGCCTGGTCAGACATTGAAGACACCAAGGTAATCCACTTCATCCTGGGCCATCACCAGCTGTCTTGATTTTAGTCTTGCCACTGTACTGTGATGATTCTGGAAGAGAGACTGAGGCTGATGACTTTGTTCGACTCTACTTCACTTCAATTCAATTCATACACAAGTTAAGACATCACCCCACGATGTGATTTGTCCACTTTGAAAATGAAGTAAAAACAATAACAATCTAGTTGTTAAATGTTTGAGTCTCTGAGAATCTGGACTATTTTTCCTATCTCAATAAAAAATGAACATTTATTAAAAACCTTAAGAACCAATTCCTTAAGTTGTATTTGTTCCCTCTTGCAATGGTCTATCTTGTCCAAAAGTCTTCCAAACTGTTAGACAGAAATGTAGGTCATCTACTTTCCTTCTAGGGTTAGATCAAAAACAGACATCTCCCAGCTGAAAAGTCCCTGGAACTCCCAACAGTGGCCTCCAGATTACAAAAACAAAACAAAATAAAGCAAACAAACAAAAATACTAGTAAAGAACTATCTCCATTTTACAACAATTTACTTTCAACATAAAAATTCTGATGCCTTAGGAAAAAAAATTAAAATTAAAGGCATTTGAGGAGGGGAATGTGGAAGCCTGGTTTATAGGGATGCACATTTTTTTGTTTAGTAAATGCTCACTTTGCTTATACTTGGAGACCACAAAGCTCCTAGACATTTGAATCTGTCAACATCTAGTTTAGCACCTTTTGAATGTTATGAACATCTCCATCTAAAGATTATTTGAGATCCTTGGCTTAGTATCCATGATCCCGCCATTCTCTGGAGGTGAGTATCCCTATCTTTATTCACCCTGCTACCATTCCAGGGATTTGCAATGTTAGAGGGAGATTCCAAATTTATGGGATTTCACATACATTTAAGGAGTGAACCAGGGGACCCATAGCACAGCTAACATTTTGGACTCTCTTTAAGGATGACCACCCCTAGAGACACAGGTCTGGCCACTGGTCCTGCCACCCATTAAGCATGAGAATTTCTGTAATGTAATTTTAAAGGAGAAGCATGGAAAAACCATGTCTAGTTTTTCTCCCCTCCAATCCATCCCACATACAGCTGAAAGATCATTAACATACATCAGTGTAGATGTCTCTTCCCATGATACAGAGCACAGCCTCTTCATTCCTGCCGATTTTTGTGACCCCTGTATGTGTCTTGCTGTACAGGTGCCAAATGAGATTTGTCCAATGTGCTGAGGACCTTCACAACTTTCTCTTGATGTTGAAAGCATTTCAATGGAGTACAAGAGCTGTTCATCTTTCAGTCTCACTAAGTGACATCTTGTTCTACCATCCATGACTCCATTCTTTACTCTAGTTCTTCAGAGTTTCTTGTCATGTGCCATAATTTCCCACATCCACCATGCATATCTCTATTGCCCTTTGCATGATTTTCTTTGGAGGCTGGAGACTGGCAGTACAACCAGTAGAATATTGATATTTTTAAAATGGACTCTTCTAGCCTCATTTCTAAAATATTCAGAGAATTAAGTCAAATTTATAGGGAATGCAAGTCATTCCCTAATTGATAAATGGTCAAAGGATATGAACAGGCAGTTCTCAGATGAAAAAATTAAAGCCATCTATAATCATATGAAAAAATGCTCTAAATCACTATTGATTAGAGAAATGCAAATCAAAACAACTCTGAGGTACCACATCACACCTATCAGATTGGGCAACATGTCAAAACAAGAAAATGATCAATATTGGAGAAGACGTGGGGAAATTGGAACACTAATGCATTGTTGGTGGAGTTGTGAAATGATCCAACAATTTTGGAGAGCAATTTGGAACTATGCCCAAACGGCTATAAAAATGTGCATACCCTTTGACCCAGAAATAGCACTTATAGGGCTATATCCCAAAGAGACCTTACAAATGGGAAAAGGACCCACATGTAAAAAATATTTGTAGCAGCTCTTTTTGTGGTGGCAAAGAATTGGAAATTGAGAGGATGCCTATCAATTGGGGAATGGCTGAACAAGCTGTGGCATATGAATGTAATGGAATACTATTGTGCTATAAGAAATGATGAGCAGACAGACTTCAGAAAAACCTGGAAAGACTTGTATGATCTGATGCTGAGTGAAGTGAGCAGAACCAGGAGAACATTGTACACAATAACAGCCATGTTGTGCAATGACTAACATTGATAGACTTAACCCTTCTCAGCAATGCAAGGATCTAAGATATCTCCAAAGACCTCATGATGGAAAATGCTATCCACATCAAAGAAAGAACTATGGAGTTTGAATGCAGATCGAAGACTACTATTCACTGTTTTTTTTTCTTCTGTTGAGTTTTGTTTCCTCTTTCTGGTGGTTCCTCCTATTGGTTCTAATTCTTACTTACAACATCACTAATGTGAAAATATATTTACTAGGAATGCATATGTATAGCCTATATCAGATTGTTCACCATCTTGGGAAGAGTGGTGGGGAGGAAGGGGGAGAAAAATTTGAAACTCAAAAGCACATGGAAGTGATTGTTGATAAATCAAAATAAATAAATTTTAAAATGTTTTTAAAAAATAAAATAAAATGGGCTCTTCTCTCAAGGTTAAGTTAGGAGTCATTTAAAATGTTTTATAGGGCAAAGTAGCAGGAAGAATTACAGTGAGCCCCCACTCCAACAAAACTGCACCAGACTGAATCTTGATGGAGAAATCTAAAAAAAAAAAAGTCAAAATGAATAAATTTTTTTAATCCCAGGTCAAAAGAGGAATACAGAGAAAAGTCTGTGTACACTGGAAATAGGGTCTAACCAGGAGCTCAAAGTATTCTAATAGGTAAGGCTGTATATTAGGAATGGGTACCATCTGGCAACTTTGTCACTCACTACTCAGTTCTGGATCACAGATCTGGGACAGACTGAGGAAAGAATCTTATCCATAGTGGTATTTGGGGGTAAGGAGTGTTAAACAGGTCCTAGCCTATGTACCAAGAGAGGAGAAAATTCAGAAGCAAATGTCAGCAATATGGCTCACATCCCTGGAGCCAAGGAGGATCTCAGTTTCAGCTTTTAGCCCATTCTGAAGCCTGCAGAGAGATAACCAGGGAAGGAAATCCCAGACCACAAGTTTCATCATGCTGAACCTATTGAGTGGCAGGGGCTGAATCTAACAGAAGTATACTCCAAACCCAGGTCAAAATGTTGTAAAACTTCTTTCCCAGTTTTCTGCTTCCCTCTTGATCTTGGTTGCACTGGCTTTGTGCAAAAACTTTTCAATTTAATGTAATCAAAATTATCCATTCTGTATTTCATAATGTTCTCTATCTCTTGTTTGGTTATAAATCCCATTTTATAAATGAGGAAAATTAGTCTTGGATTATCCTTGTCCATACCCAATACTCTTTCAACCTTATAATACTGACTAGATCACAACAGAAAGATTGCATTTGATCTGGGTCTTTAAGGATACATAAGCTTAAGTTGTAGGCATATTCTGAAGAATATTCTAAATCTAGGGAATGTTGTGAACAAAGTCATGGAGGTAACAGGAAGTATTCTTAGAGCAGAGTGATCTAGTTTGTTCAAGCACAAAGCTGGAGAAGGGGAGTAGCTTGCAGCAGTGATTTTAACTTGAAATTCAGGAAATGTGGGCATGAATCCCAGCTCTGACACATCTTAGCTTTGGGAATTCAGGTAATCAAGCAATAATTAAGTACCTACAATATGCTAGGCAGTATGAACCATCTTTGCATCCCTGATATAAATGCACCTTGATCATAGTAAATGATTTTTTTGGACAAATTGCCGTAGTCTTTTTGCCAAGATTTTTAAAAATTCTTAAATGACTATTAACAATATTGGTGTAAGGTTCTCTTTCTTTCCTTTATCCCTTAGTGGTTTGTGGGAGTGGATGTAGGAAAATTGCAACACTAATATACTGTTGGCAGAGTTGTGAGTTGATCCAATCATTCTGGAGAGCAATTTGGAACTCTACCCAAAAAGTTATAGACCCCCAAACCCTTTGAATCAGCAATACCACTACTATGTCTGTATAAAGACATTTTTAAAAAAACAGAAAGGAAAAGGGCCTATATGTACAAAAATATTTATACCTGCTCTTTTTAGTGGTGGTAAAGAATTGGAAATTCAGGGAATGTCCATCAGTTGGGGAATGGCTGAATTGTTGTATATGATTGTGATGCAATACTATCATGCTATAAGAAATGACAAGCAAGATGCTCTCAGAAAAACCTGGCAAGACTAACATGAATGGATACAAAATGAAATGAGCAGAACTAGAACATTGTATACAGTAACAACAATATTGTGTGATGAACAGCTGTAAATAACTTAGCTATTCTCAGCAATACAATGATCCAAGACAATTCTGAAGAATTTATGATGAAAATTATCTTCAGAGAAAGAACTGATGAAATCTGAATGCAGGTTGAAGCATACTTTTCCTTTAAAAAGTTGGGGGGGGGGGTTTGTCTGTGTTTCTTTCACAACAAGACTTACATGGAAGTATGTTTTGCATGACTGCATATGTATAACCTTTGTCAAATTGCTTGCCTTCTCAAGGGGAGGGAGAGGAGGGAGAGAATTTGAACTCAAAATTTGGGGAAAAAAGAATGTTAAAATTGTTTTTACATGTATTTGAGGAAAATACTGATTTTAAGAGCATTTTATAAGCTTAAAAAACATTAAGGAAATAGAAAATATTACTGGTAACACATGATGAAAAACTTTAATGCCAAATTTAAAAGTTTTGCCTAAAATGGGTATTGCTTAGGAAGAAAAGGGAAGAGGGATTGGGAGACAGTAGGGAGAGGGTAAAAGAAAGAAGTGAGTGGTAATCATTGGCCTTTTGGAGAAATCAAAGGTCAACGGAGTCTCCATAGGTTGAATCATCCCGATACCTCCTGTCACTAATGGTTAAAGGGGTCTTCCAAAGGGTGGGTCTTATACACTCTCACAGAGTGGACCAGAGAAGTGAAAGGACAAGTTCAAGAAACACTCTCAAGTGGCCAATAAAAATTCAGGCCTCCAGAGGCCAACCTTCTGGGAGGGGGGGAGGGAGTTCACCCCTATTTCCTTTCCCACATCAAAAACTGAACCCATTAGAGTTGAGATCATAGAGGTAGGGAAGACAGACAGGTACAAAGAGAGATCCTTTTGGACATGCTCACACGTTTAAGTGCTGGCAAGAGCTGATGTTGCAGAAAAGGTGAGGAGGCAGCGGGGGAGTTGTCAGAAAGGCAAGGAGCAAGCCAGAGCTGAACGCCTCACAGTGTGATTATCCCTGTTAATAAACCCAGGACAATCCAAGAGAAAGGGGCGGCGGTATTGCCCAAAGCTGAACTGGCACAAATGCCCCCAATCTTCCTTCCCTGCTCCAGCCACTTCCCTCACCCTGAAGCCATTATCCTCATCCTCACCCCGAGATAATTCTCCCTCTCCTCCTCTATCTCCTCAGAGCCCAGATCCGACATGACTTCATCACCACCACCACCACAATCCTGCCTCCTGCGGGTTTAGTCCCTGCAGATCGACACTTTTCTGTTAACAGTCACCTCGTTATGAGGAGGGCTAAGGGAGCTCGCGCCTTCACCCCTGTAGTAATCACCTCCCAACCTCTAGATCTCCTTTCCTGGGGAGGAGGAGAAAGTGTTCGTAGTGGGAGGTGAGAAGAGGCGTGGCCAAAACCTAGGGGCTGAAGGAGAACAATGGATACAAAAAGGGGGGAAGAGAGGGGGACTAGTTGGCTGGGAGGAGCAGGCAGTGATGGAAACACAGCGGTTGCCATAGCAACGGAGACAAGTCTTGTTTTCCTGACTGCCCCAAAGGAAGCTATATAAGGAGAGAAGTAGAGAGAGCAGAGAAAGAAGCAAAAACCTATGTAGACTCAGAAATAGAACAGATTCTTAGAGGTGGATACCTAGGCTCTCTTGACTCCCTTCCCCCCAAACTATTGTAAACTCTCTCCCAGAGCAACAGATTTGGGACAGCTCTAATCATCAGAAAATTGTTTTTACGTAGAACCTAAATCTGCCTCTGTAACTTCCATCCACAATTCCTGGTTCTGCTCTCCAGAGTCAAGCAAAACAAATCTAACCCGTCTTCCACATAAAACAATCCTTCAAAATACTTAAAGACAATTATCATGACACCTCTAAACATTCTATTCTCTGGACTAAATAGCCCCACTCCCTAAATCCCCAGTGCATCCTATATAAAGTCATCTCCAATTCTATCACCTGGGTGCTCTACCTTTGTATGCTCTCATTTGTCAACGTCCATCCTAACATTTGGAATCTAGAATAAAAGACAATTATCTACATGTCGTCTGACCTGGGCAAAATACAAGATAATCACTTTTCTGGTTCTGAGCACTATTTTTTCATGTAAATAGTATTTTCTTTTAATCATTCATAATTAACTTTATTATTAATTGTAAAGACAATTTTCAACATTCACTTTTTACAAGATTTTGAGTTCCCAATTTTTTCCCTCCCTCACTCCCTCCCCTGCCGCCTCCCCAAGCAATCTGATGTAGGTTATACATGTGTAGTCATATAAAACATATTTCCACATTAGTTATGTTTCGAAAGAAGAAACAGAACAAAAGGGAGGGCAAAAACACACAAAAAAAGGAAAAATAGTATGAGTCGATATGCATTCAGATTCCATCAGTTCTTTCTCTGGATGTGGGTAGCATTTTCTTTCATGAGTTTTGGAATTGTTTGGGATCATTGTATTGCTGAGAAGAGCTAAGTCAATCATAGTTGATCATAGCAAAATGTTGCTTACTATGTTTAATACTGAACGCTACTTACATCTACTAATCATGGTGCATATGGAATCTCCAATGCCAATTCTCCGATTCCAGATCTCCAAGTTCAACATACTCTATGGGTCCACATCCACTAAGGTAAACACTTTTTTCCTCACCTAGAAAACAGAATTATTTCAGAACAAAAATAGTTAATGAATTTGCCTAGTGAGAAGATCTGCTGTAGAACATTCCCCTCAAAAACCTAGGGCACACAAATATACACATCATCAGCAGAGAAAGTAAGCATACATTCAGATTAATGTACACATGGGGCATATATGTGGAGGGCAACTCATATCTCTGCCCTGTAGGATCCCTGATGCCTTCTGATCATGTCATCACACTGCAGCCACTAGGTCAACTCCTTGCTAAGCATGCCATCTCTATTGGACTCTCTGGAACTATTCCTGGTCCTATCTGGACATAGCATCTCTTCTCTCATTGGTTCTGTTGACCTCACCACACAGTTTTTACCATATAATCTTTACTGGTGTGCCTTAGTGTTGCTGTCCCAGGGGCTCATCTCCTCAGGGTCAGCCAAGTCAACTCAGCTTCAGTCAGTTGGAATGAAGTCCCTGAGGAATATCTCCCTAAGAACTGATTAACAACTCTTACCAGTCCAAGATTAAATCTCTACTTTGCAAACCCTTTATCAGGGTAGGGAATCAAAGCCTTCCATTACAGATAACAATCTAATTTAGAATTCTGACAATCTTACATATTCACAAAATCCTCTCAGGCTTTGTGGTGAAGAAATTTAACCCAGAACAAAAGGTAAGCTAAGGAGACCCACTTAGTTCAAATTCCTGCCTTTATTATGCAAATCTGTCAGCAGAAAAGCCTAAGTGCTTTGAAGCTCTAAAACCTCAGTGTTCCTACTTATATTAGTATATCCTAAATCACATTAGCTTTTGTTGGTTGCCATAACAAATTGTTGGTTTATATTGGAATTGCAGTCTAAGAAAAGCCCTGTCTTTTTCCTCAAGAATTATTCTCTAGTCACAATTCTTTTATCATGTACTAGTGCACCATTTCTATTGAGATTCTTGAACTTTTGTTCCTCCAGATGAATTTTTTAAATCATTTTTTCTGGTTCTATAAAGTAATCTTTTAGTAGTTTATCATATAGTCTGAAAAAGAAAACTAATTTGGGTTGTATTGTTTTTGCTCTATGTTCATGGCTCAATAAGGAATGATTAATATCTGTCCATTTATTTAGGAATAATTTGTTCAGTTTGGTCCCATCCACCACTTCATGACCCGATTTGGGGTGTTCTTGGCAAAGACGCTGCTCATTTTACAGATGAGGAAAGTGAGGCAAACAGGATTAAGTGACTTTCCCAGAGTCACACAGCTAATGTCTGAGGCCAGACTTGAACTCAGAATGATGAGTATTCCTGACTCCAGGCCCTATCCACAGTACCACCTAGGTGCCCTAGAATAGTTGCATTCATATTCCTTTGTATATAATGGATTTCCAAGTATTATTATAGACATTCTGTAGTTCTTTTGAATGGAATTTTTCTCTTTGAATTTTCCTGCTATAGTGAAAATAACTTTGCTAGCATAGCCTAAATAACTCCATTTTGTTTTTAAACTTCTATTTTGTGATTGAATGAGTTATGTGCTTTTTTTTTTCATTTCTAAAACAAATGCTTGTGTGGCATAACTTGGTAAATAACATGGACCTGTTGCGGGCTAAGAGGTTGAGAGATTGTGACCCCTCAAACACCACAGGACTGGCGGTCTGGAAGGAATTCACAGACTCAAGCATTCTTTAATTCAAGGTGGCAAAGATTTATTGTTACACTTTTCAGCGGGCAAGGATTCTTAAAGGATCCTGCAACCTTAGAGAGGTACAGTTAAAGTTTATATAGGATAAAATACAATAAAACATGTGCCAAATATGCTAACTAGGGGATTCAGGGTGGGATTAGGGAATGGTTAAGGAGTGGTCAGTTCTCAATTGAAACTCAAGATAAGAAAAGTCCCATTATTCAAGAGATTATCTGGTCCCAGACATCCTGGGCCCAGGGATAACAAACAGGAAGAATACTGATCAGCTCTATCTGGTCCTGGAATTTGCTAATACAGGAAGGGGTGTTTTTAGTTCACTCAGAGAGAAAAAGATTAATTTAGGTTTTTGGCCCTTATTGGGGCTCAATTGATCTTAAATGATTATCAAGGGACAGTGTTTCTGAGGCTAGGGAGAGATTGGGGCCCAAGTACAAGCACCCAAGCATAAGCACCCAAGCCCCCCAACAGACCCATGATCATCAGTATATGGAACTTCTAGATGAAAAAACTACCTCCACCAATGCAGGTTGGCACCTCTTTATAATTTATAGTCTTAGATGGTAGCCTTAGCTTAGTCTCCACACTATAAAGTCCTGCACAGCAGATCCTATCCTCAGTGTCCACACACCTTGTCTGTCTCATTATGCCAATGTGGACTGAAAAAAAAATGATCCACTATGATTTGGGGGGGGGGATGATTTCATAATCAGGATTCATCTTAATGCATTTTATAGGCCTTTTTGGAGTAGCTATGTATGTGTATGTGAGGGAAGGGAATAAGACAGATTGTACTGCTTTCTCCTACTCCACCATCTTGGCTGAAAATGTAAACTTCTTGAGAACAGTGTCTTTCTATCCCTAGCACCCAGCACAGTGCAATGCACATAATAGATTTTTAATACATGCTTCTTAATTTGAATTGAAAGAATTCTTTGTAGGATTTTACAAATAAATTTATATTCTAAACTGACATTGCCTTTGGCTTCTATATTTCTCCATTTGGCAAAGAGATCATGTGTTGGCCATCCAAGGTAGTTTCCAGATTTATTTACAGGAATTGAACTGCCATAGGAAGTATGATCATCTGTGATGTGTCAATACCTTTAGCAACTTTCTGTTTTTCATTATCAACATTTTATTCACATAGGGCAAGTTGGAACTACTAATTTCATACCTTGTTTTTTTCTTATGTGAATTTTCTGTGGATTTTTATCTTTACTATAATAAATTCATGATCAGATTGTACAAAGACAACAAATTTAGAAATGACTCCCAGTCTTTTCCTGTTTGTTCATATATAACCAATTGTGTGTGTGTGTGTGTGTGTGTGTGTGTGTGTGTGTGTGTGTGTGTGTGTGGTGGGAGGTGGGAGGAAAGACAGAGAGACAGAGACAGAGATTCTATTTGATCCTTGAGGCTTGTGTCTAGGACTTTCCCACTTCCTTCTTGAAAAATAGTATTAATGATTCATAGATGTAATGATGTGGTGTTTTTCTTTTAGTCTTTGGCTTTTCTCATTTATAATTCCTGAACCATATTTTTCAAAATATTTTTCACAGTCCTCTTCTCTGCCACTTTTGCATCAGTCATTGAGTATCAGTTAATTTAATTTGGGAGATCTGATTGAATTCTTTGGATAATTTCTCTACCATCTCATCTAATGCAGTAGGTGTTGGTATATAAACTATATTACTTTCATGGTAGTCTTTTTATAAATGCTTATCACGAGTACTTCAATATAAAGCGAATATCCAATTAAGTGGTCTCTTGGTAACTTAGAAAAGTGACTTGCTTCTCCAAGGAGGACCTATGAATCATCTTTCCATTAATTACAACTTTCATCTTCTAGTTTCATTTGTAGAAAAAATGTAAATAATTGTATATCTCAATTTCCCTAAGAACACCCTCTGTCTCCTCTCCCTCTACTCTGCCACTACCACTGCAGAAGCCAAAAGGGACTACATGGGACTGAGATCTATTTCATGTTTTTCCTTGTTTTGTGTGTAGCAAGAACCAAAGAATTCTTCACTTAGTGCTCAGCCTCCTGGGGACTTCAATAAATGTCTTCAAACCAAAGGCTTAGTTTATATTCTAAGCTCCATGCAAACATTTTAACAAGTATTCTCTTACCTTTTGCTAATTGTAAAA